ATCTCAACCCTGTCAAGTAGCGCTGGACTGTCCTGTCATCTTGACGTGCATCTCAAACCTGTCAGTAGCGCTGGACTGTCCCTGTCATCTTGACGTAGATCTAAAAACCCTGTCAGTAGCGCTGGACGTCCCTGTCATCTTGAGTAGCATCTCAACCCTGTCAAGTAGCGCTGGACGTCCTGTATCTTGACGTAGCATCTTCAACCCTGCAAGTAGCACTTGACTGTCCCTGTCATCTTGACGTAGCATCTCAACCCTGTCAAGTAGCGCTGGACTGTCCCTGTCATTCTTGACGTAGCATCTCAACCCTGTCAAGTAGCGCTGGACTGTCCCTGTCATCTTGACGTAGCATCTCAACCCTGTCAAGTAGCGCTGGACTGTCCCTGTCATCTTGACGTAGCATCTCAACCCTGTCAAGTAGCACTTGACTGTCCCTGTCATCTTGACGTAGCATCTCAACCCTGTCAAGTAGCGCTGGACTGTCCCTGTCATCTTGACGTAGCATCTCAACCCTGTCAAGTAGCGCTGGACTGTCCCTGTCATCTTGACGTAGCATCTCAACCCTGTCAAGTAGCGCGGACTGTCCCTGTCACTTGACGTAGCATCTCAACCCTGTCAAGTAGCGCTGGACTGTCCCTGTCATCTTGACGTAGCATCTCAACCCTGTCAAGTAGCACTTGACTGTCCCTGTCATCTTGACGTAGCATCTCAACCCTGTCAAGTAGCGCTGGACTGTCTCTGTCATCTTGACGTAGCATCTCAACCCTGTCAAGTAGCGCTGGACTGTCCCTGTCATCTTGACGTAGCATCTCAACCCTGTCAGTAGCACTGGACTGTCCCTGTCATCTTGACGTAGCATCTCAACCCTGTCAAGTAGCGCTGGACTGTCCCTGTCATCTTGACGTAGCATCTCAACCCTGTCAAGTAGCGCTGGACTGTCCCTGTCATCTTGACGTAGCATCTCAACCCTGTCAAGTAGCGCTGGACTGTCCCTGTCATCTTGACGTAGCATCTCAACCCTGTCAAGTAGCGCTGGACTGTCCCTGTCATCTTGACGTAGCATCTCAACCCTGTCAAGTAGCGCTGGACTGTCCCTGTCATCTTGACGTAGCATCTCAACCCTGTCAAGTAGCGCTGGACTGTCCCTGTCATCTTGACGTAGCATCTCAACCCTGTCAAGTAGCGCTGGACTGTCCCTGTCATCTTGACGTAGCATCTCAACCCTGTCAAGTAGCGCTGGACTGTCCTGTCATCTTGACGTAGCATCTCAACCCTGTCAAGTAGCGCTGGACTGTCCCTGTCATCTTGACGTAGCATCTCAATCCTGTCAAGTAGCGCTGGACTGTCCCTGTCATCTTGACGTAGCATCTCAACCCTGTCAAGTAGCGCTTGACTGTCCCTGTCATCTTGACGTAGCATCTCAACCCTGTCAAGTAGCGCTTGACTGTCCCTGCCATCTTGTCGTAGCATCTCAACCCTGTCAAGTAGCGCTTGACTGTCCCTGTCATCTTGTCGTAGCATCTCAACCCTGTCAAGTAGCGCTTGACTGTCCCTGTCATCTTGTCGTAGCATCTCAACTCTGTCAAGGAAAAAATATACGAAATGCAGGAGGTTAACACTGAAGAGTCCCAGGAGCTGGGGGTTAACACTGCAGACCCGGGATTTAGAGGTTAACACAGCAGTTCCAAGAGCTGGAGGTTAACATTGCAGACCCGGAATTTGGAGGTTAATACTGAAGTCCCAGGAGCTGGAGGAAAACTCTGCAGACTCAGGAGCTGGAGGTTAACATTGAAGAGTACCAGATGCTGGAGGTTAACACAGCAGACCCGGGAGCTGAAGGTTAACACTGAAGAGTCCCAGAAACTGGAGGTTAACACAGCAAACCGGGGAGCTTGATGTTAACACTGCATTCCCAGGAGCTGGAGGTTAACCAAGAAGACCCGGGAGTTAGAGGTTAACACTGCAGACCAGGGAGCTGGAGGTTAACCCTGAAGAGCCCCAGGTGCTGGAGGTTAGCATTGCAGTCCCAGGAGCTGGAGGTTAACACTGCACACCCGGGAGCTGGAGGTTAACACTGCAGACCCGGGAGCTAGAGGTTAACACTGAAAAGTCCCAGAAGCTGGAGGTTAAAACTGCAGTCCCAGGACCTGGAGGTTAACACTGCCGACCCGGGATCTGGAGGTTAACACTGAATAGTCCCAGAAGCTGGAGGTTAACGCTGCAGACCCGGGAGCTAGAGGTTAACACTGATGAGCCCCAGAAGCTGGAGGTTAACACTGCAGTCCCAGGAGCTGGAGGTTAACACTGCAGACCCGGGATCTGGAGGTTAATACTGCAGACCCGGGAGCTGGAGGTTAACACTGAAGAGTCCCAGAAGCTGGAGGTTAGCATAGCAGACCTGGGAGCTGGAGGTTAACACTGCAGACCCGGGAGCTGGAGGTTAACACTGCAGACCCGGGAGCTGGAGGTTAACAATGCAGACCCGGAAGTTGGAGGTTAACAATGCAGTCCCGGAAGCTGGAGGTTAACACTGCAGACCTGGGAGCTGGAGGTTAACACTGCTGTCATGTGGGGGTTCGATAACGTGGGTGGGGTAAGAACACTCACGTAGGCTGGTTAGTTGAAAAACACGCTATGGTCAGCAGCAACGTGAATAACAGTCAGTGATTCACACACGGTTGGTAGTGAGTCATCTACTGGTAACTGGTTACTGGTAACTGGTACTACTGAGACTGCAGATCCGGAAGCTGGAGGTTAACACTGCAGTCCCAGGAGCTGGAGGTTAATACTACTGTCTCAGGAGCTGGATGTTAACACTGCAGATCTGGGAGCTGGAGGTTAACACTGAAGAGTCCCAGAAGCTGGAGGATAACACTGCAGTCCCAGGAGCTGGAGGTTAACACTGCAGATCTGGGAGCTGGATGTTAACACTGAAGAATCCCGGAAGCTGGAGGTTAACACTGCAGTCCCAGGAGCTGGAGATTAATACTGCAGACCCAGGAGCTGGAGGTTAACACTGAAGAGTCCCAGAAGCTGGAGGTTAACATAGCATACCGGGAAGCTGGAGGTTAACACTGTAGACCCGGGAGCTGCAGATTAACACTGCTGACCCGGGAGCTGGAGGTTAACGCTGCAGACCCAGAAGCTGGAGGTTAACACTGCCGACCCAGGAACTGACGACGCTGGAGGACAGGAGAGATAGGGGGGACATGATAACGACATATAAAATACTGAGAGGAATTGACAATGTGGAAAGACAATGTTCCAGAGATGGGACACAGCAACAAGGGGACACAGTTTGAAGCTAAAGACACAGATGAATCACAGAGATGTTAGGAAGTATTTCTTCAGTCACAAAGTAGTCAGGAAGTGGAATAGTTTGGGAAGCGATGTAGTGGAGGTAGGAGCCATACATAGCTTTATGAAGAGGTATGATAAAGCTCATGGTGCAGGGAGAGTGACCCAGCAGCGGCCAGTGAAGAGGCGGGGCCAGGAGCTATGAATCGACCCCTGAAAGCACACTTTGGTGAGTACAACTAGGTGAGTACACACACACACAAAACAAATCCGAGAATGGTGGATAATGGTAAATGTCTTCAAATGGGAATAAAGACAATGATAAAAGATAATGTTTTTAAATACAATGTTTCCCGATGACCTGACTTTATGACGTACACAGACTTATAAGACAAACGAAGGTCTCGAGGTCAAGCTCAGAGAAAGACATGTCACACATAAGGTCATCAAACTGCAAGAGCAGGTCGCACATGAGGTCATTAAATTACGAGATCAAATCTGGTGAGGTCAGGTATTGATGGGGAAGGGAAGGTGACAAGTTTATTATGCTTATTATATGAATCGTTGGACAAGGTGGGCAAAAGGTGCATTTGCATCCCACTACTGAGTTCAGTGTTTTTTTTTTTTTTTTTTTTTTGAGATGGATCACTCCTGCTTCCAAAATTGTGTCTAGTCCAGACGTTCTCCTTGTATAACAGCTGTTCTCTTCCCCAGCCCATGGCGTAAGAATGAAGGTTGTGAGGGACTAAACATGCATATTGATTTTATTCCTCCTACAGGCATATTTACTTTCCTTGAAGGTGTGTCTACAAGTCTCCGACGGTTTCCCTGGCATAGAATCTACCGCTACCACCACACGGTATGTTGTATACTCCGCTGCTGTGCAAATAGTTCTGGGTTTATGAAGATTGCCAGAACTGTGTAGTATCCTGACTTCTAATTGCTTCCGAGCAGTTGCAAGTAGAGATGGAGTTGGAGTGAGTGAAGTTATTTGGGCTGGTATGGGTGTTGGGAGTTTTTTTTTTTTTTTACCAAATTGTCATTTACATAGATGGGCAGGTGGTAAGAGTTATGTTTGAATGAGGGGAAAGAGAGGAAAGCGTTTAGAGTAGTTATTGTTCGTATCTGTAATTAATGTTGGCTGATTTATTGGGTTTACAGCCAGTGCACTCTTTATGTAAATACTGGAAGATGCACACTTCTCAGTGTATATAACTTAATCAATAAGATTGTAATTCACCTGCACACTAACATCAGCAATACTTTTATTAGTAATAGGGACTTAAAAAGGGTAAATAAATCAACCAATAACGTAATGTTCTGAAAGGCAACTGTAACAGAGTCAGGGTGTCCCGTAGTTCGATTGCTAGCGCAGTCAGCTCACACACTGAGGTCCTTGGTTTGACCCCCAGTACGGGTGGACACATTAGGACGTGTTTACTTAAGACACCTGCTGTCCCTCTTCACCTATCAGTAAAATAGGTACCTGGATGTTAGTCGACTGGTGTTGGTCACATCCTGGGGACAAAATTGACATAATTTGCTTTCTATACAGTAGTATGTCAGCTAGACATGTATACATCGTACATGTACTTGTGAAAATAAAGATTATTATTAACACGTCAAAACTTTTTTTCTTTTGTCGATGAAGAATTGTTATATATTCATAACTTAATATAAGAGGGTTAAAAAAAAAACTTACATTTATCTAATTCTTTATTTTGGTTTAGTTTGGCACACAAGTGTTTTATTTATTGTGATTCAGTGTGTCAAGTTTTGAAATATTGACAGAAAGTAATCTTAAAGATCTTGTATATTTTCATTTATTAATGTCACATTTTGAAACATTAAAAAACACACTAAAAGGTCTTGTGCAGTTAAATTCTTCATGGTTAGAAACCAAACTGTTCACAGTGTTCGTCATGGTCGTGGCCTTGATGAACCAGGTCGTGTTCAACAGGGTCGTGCACCTCGGCAAGGCAGTGCTGCCGCAGCCTCTCAAGCCAATCAGCCCCTCCTGGCGGCTGTCCGTACAATAAATATATTAAACTCTCTCTATTTCTCTCTTCTCTCTCTCTCTTCTCTCTCTCTCTCTCTCTCTCTCTCTCTCTCTCTCTCTCTCTCTCTCTCTCTCTCTCTCTCTCTCTCTCTCTCTCTCTCTTTCTCTCTCGTGAGTCATTCTATGTATTTGTTTACCTGGTGATGTGCTGACACAGCGCTGCAGATGTCATAACACCAGACAGTGTTGGTCGCCAGGCAGATGGTTCACGGTCAGGTGGTCACCACACGTTGATTACCATAGGATAACATTATTAATATTATTATACACGTACTCTATCACTGGTTTATTATTATAGTTATAGTCTTGATATTAGAAGGGTGCAATAACAGTTGATTTAATCACATACAGAAATTTTATGAAATTATATATATAAATGAGAGCCCACAGATTAACTGCTGTTACTGAATTTTTTTTACAAATGACAAAAATTATGAAAGCGTAATTCTGAATATACAATAGCGTAGTTATCGTACCAGGACGCTCCCTGGCAGATGAACTGAGTGTGACTGCCTCAGCAAATGACTCTCATGACTCACGAAATCGAAATAACACGATTGCAAACAAACAACGTAACGGGTGGCGATTGAAACCACGACGAATGAGCCGTAAAACTCCAGGCAAGTGCGCAAGCCACTGAGCTAGGTACCTACAACAAGAGTCATTCAGCTAGCTATATTTATACACCAATGGGAGGCTAGCATGGGTTCCGTTGAGATAAGGGTAGGTTATCTTGCCTAACCTAACCTAACTGGTCACAGTGGGACTCATGGTAACCTCCCCATGGCGTATAAATATACCTAGTCAGATATATAACATGGTTTATGACCATAATTTTTAAGGGTGGACCGGTAAGCAGCGGAAAGGGCTCGGTTTGATGACCAAAGCCCCAAAGCGGTCATCATCTGACTAGACCCGCGTCAGGAAAATTTGTCCTGTTTCCTGACGAACCTTCCTACCTAACCAGTCAGATGAAACAGTGTAGCCCGTAGGTCGTGGTTTTACGCATGCCTGACGTTTTGACTCACTCGTTGGATTCAAGTCCTACCGTCCGTGGTTTAAATGGCTTCCCATCTATCCATGATATCGTTTTTAGTCTTTTTGCTGTGTGGGGTTTGAAGGTGTCATATCTTCCAGACACCAGTGACTGTCATCAGAACACTATGCTAAAATGATGGCAGCCGAAAAATCAAATTTGATATGCTGATCAATATGTAAAATGAAGCGGAGTATTGATGTGAAATGAGCCATCGGAAGTGCATATGCTGAGGTTACATAGATTAGACAGCAGTGAAGATGTATACAGACTAAATTACTTTAGCTATCATATGCAGGAAATAGCTTTTCATGTCTGTTATTTAGTTGTAAAAAATAGAACCTCCACATCAAACACATTATTTACACAACAACATCAGCCACACTACTTACACAACCACACTAAAACTATACCACGGGCGGGGATTGAACTCGTGGCAAGTGAGTCGTGGTATGATTTGTTTGAAATCGTGTCATTATGATTTCGTGAGTCACATTACTTACACAACCACATCATCTACCACTGACTTGCTTCCAATTCCACTCACAGATTTTTTCCTCAGCTTCTCCACAGACTTTGTTGCCCTCCTACTCACAAACTGTCATACCATCTCATACATGTGGGACAACCTTCCACATTGTTCCTGCACAGCAGACGGTTTCTCCTTTTAACGGAAGGAATAAAGAAACAATGGTAGATACGGATGTTGTGGAGGTAATAAAACTTGCAGTAGGTAAGTTTACTCTCACCTGATCAGGCAGACAGCCAGGAAGACGACCAACAGGACACGCAACGAATTCATGGTGATCTGGATGATGGTGAGGTGTTGTCGTGGTGCTGAGGACAGAAGTGTAGCTCCTCACTTGTCCTCGCTGTCTATTGCACCTCAGCATTCCAAAAATATTTTATATCCGACGGTTGGTTGCAACACGCGTATACATCTCTATAACCTACACAATGAACTGGAAGATTTCAAGTAAAGGGAAGAGAGTGAAGTGAGAGGGAATTGGGTAAAACAAGCGGAAGTAACATGATAAAAATGATGAAACTCGTTACAGAAGTAAAAACAATAGACGTAGAAAATATGCTTGTCAACTTAATATAAAAGATGAGAGAGAGGATGCTTCTACGTATTTTTTCTTGTTTCTAGTAATTTCTAGTTAAAGATATACATTATATCAGTTGTTTATTATAAACCGTTGTCTTGCGTCCACATGTCACTGTTATCGTCACCAGGAACAGTCATGCAACAGGATCAACAACATTAACAATAAAACAGAAAATGAGAAAACAGCATCAACAATAACAGCAACAGTGAGACAACGGAATTAGTAGCATCAACAATAACAGGAGGTGAAACAACAGGATCAACAACATCAACAATAACATAAAATATGAAACAACATAATTATATTTTTATTTATTTTATTAACCCATCGGCCATTTCCCACCAAGGCAGGGTGACCCGAAAAAGAAAAACGTTCACCATCATTCACTCCATCACTGTCTTGCCAGAGGGATGCTTTACACTACAGTTATAAAACTGCAACATTAACATCTCTCCTCAGAGTGCCAGCACTGTACTTCCCATCTCCAGGAATCAAGTTCGGCCTGCCGGTTTTCCTGAATCCCTCCATAAACATTACCCTACTCACACTCCAACAGCACGTCAAGTCCTAAAAACCATTTGTTTCTATTCGCTATCTAACACGTTCATGCATGCTTGCTGGAAGTCCAAGCCCCTCGTGCACAAAACCTCATTTACCCCCTCCCTCCAACCTTTCCTAGGCCAACCTCTACCCCGTCTTCCCTCCACTACAGATTTATACACTCTCGAAGTCATTCCATTTTGCTTCACCTCTCTACATGTCTGATCCACCTCAACAACCCCTCCTCAGCCCTCTGGATAATTTCCAAACTACGAATTCTCTGCATTATATTCACACCACACATTGCCATCAGACATACCATCTCCACTGCCTCCAGCCTTCTCCTTGTTGCAACATTCACCACCCATGCTTTACACCCATATAAGAACGTTGTTATAACTATACTCTCATACATTTCCCTCTTTGCTTCCATGGACAATGTTCTTGGTCTCCACAGACTCCTCAGTGCACCACTTACCTTTTTTCCCATCGTCAAATCTATGATTCACATCATATTCATAAGACCCATATGCTGACACGTCCACTCCTAAATATCTGAATACATTCACCTCCTCCATAATTAACAGAATAAATAATAACAAGAAGCGAGACTACAGGATCAGCAGTGCCATCAACAACATTAACAACACAAATACAGTTTAGGTGACATAAGAAATAGTTGACATCATAGGCCACAACTGCAACACATTCATGAAATATAAACAGACTGGAAATCCAGCAAACAACTGAAACTTAATACAGTAACAGAGAGAAAGTAAGAAAAATATGAACACAGTAAACAACAAAAATAATTACAGAGGATGCTTCATATATGACGGAGGGAAAAACAAGAGACATTTGAAAATGGTAGTAAATGAACAAGAATAAATCCTACAGCATAGACTTTAGCTCTGCATTTACTGAGCATATATGTTACAATTAAAGGAAGTAGGTTGGTAGACAGCAACCACCCAGGGAGGTACTACCGTCCTGCCAAGTGAGTGAAACGAAAGCCTGTAATTGTTTTACATATGGTAGGATGCTGGTGTCTTTTGTCTGTCTCATAAATATGCAAAGATTACAGGTATGTCTTGCTACTTCTACTTACACTTAGGTCACACTACACATACATGTACAAGCATATATTATAACACACCCTCTGGTTTTCTGCTATTTTCTTTCTAGTTCTTGTTCTTGTTTATTTCCCTCTTATCTCCATGGGAAAGTGGAACAGAATTCTTCCTCCGTAAGCCATGCGTGTTGTAAGAGGCGACTAAAATGCCGGGAGCAAGGGGCTAGTAACCCCTTCTCCTGTATATATTAATAAATATACAAGGAGAAACGAAAACTTTCGTTTCTCCTTTTGGGCCCCCACCTCGGTGGGATACGGCCGGTGTGTTGAAAGAAAAAAAATATGTTACAATGAAACTCGAACAACTATTTAAAGTGGAAATTAACTCAGGAACACGAAATAAGTTCATGAAATTTCGAGGCAACATGTGCAGAACTAATGTAGGTAAAAACAAAAATTGCTAATAGGTCTATGAGATCACTGGAATATACTGCCCACTGAAGCTCTAACTGAAAACAAAAATGCAGCCATTTCAGAACCTCGTGATAAAACAATTTGTTGTAAATATCAGACACAACTCAATACAGTACAAGTGTCAGCTGTAGTCAATCGAACATTGATGTTAAGTGAGGCACTAAGAGCCTCTGAATGACCACAGATCACCCAGGATATAATAATGGTGACAACATGTACTCGTGACAACGTATGTTTTACTGGTGACATGTGTTCTACTGGTGCTTTTCATGTTAAATAACTGTGAATCATTCTGTCACTGAAATAGCTTGATCATTTTGTGAAGCTGGTAGTGTGCTAGAAGAAGTGGAGGATGGGGAGAGCCTTCTGCTAGACTATCCTATTCCCAACACTGATCCTTGATGAATCAAGACTGAGTGAGGGTCTGATTACCTGAAACTACTTCGTCTTTCACACCCTCCAGTAATTATTCCCTGTACTGCACTGATAAAGCACGATTGACGAAACATCTGCATATATTTACATATATTTACTACATATATTTTCTCTCATCATTGGGAGCCACTATTTCGAGAGGCGATAGCGGCATGGAAAATCCCAATTAGTATTGCTTGGGCTTTCCATACCAGCTAGGACCTGACAGAGAAAAATAACCCAGAGTTTCTGTTGTGTTTATCATATATATATATATATATATATATATATATATATATATATATATATATATTATATATTATATATATATAATATATATATATATATATATATATATAATAAATTATATATATATATATATATATATATATATTATATATATATATATATTATAATATATATTATATATATATATATATATATATATTATATATATTATATATATATCATTTACCAAACTGCAGCAGGCCAGGACTCGACCCTACGAACCTTGTGCCTCCTCCAGAGACAGCACAATGTATGTATCACCTTACCACTAGGCCAGCGATCCTACAAGAACCAAGCACACAGCACCGAGCTAAGCTCCTGGCCCCTGTGTGTGTGTGTGTGTACTCACCTAGTTATACTCACCTAGTTGTGGTTGCAGGGGTCACAGCTCCTGACCCCGCCTCTTCAACTGGCAACTACTCAATCACTCTTCCCGCTCAGTGAACTTTATCATACCTCTTCTTAAAGCTATGTATGGATCCTGCCTCCATTACATCACTACCCAGGCTATTCCACTTCCTGACAACTCTGTGACTGAAGAAATACTTCCTAACATTCCTGTGGTTCATCTGAGTCTTCAACTTCCAACTGTGACCCCGTGTTTCTGTGTTCCATCTCTGGAACATCCGGTCTCTGTCCTCCTTGTCTATACCTCTCAGTATTTTATATGTAGTTATCATATCTCCCCTATCTCTCCTGTCTCCAGTGTCGTGAGGTCGATTTTCCTTAACCTCTCCTCGTAGAACATACCCCTTAGCTCCAGGACTAGTCTTGTTGCAAACCTTTGCACTTTCTCTAGTTTCCTTACATGCTTGGCTAGGTGAGGGTTCCAAATTGGCGCTGCATATTCCAATATGGGCCTAACGTACACAGTGAACAGGGTCCTGAATGAGTCCTTATTTAGATGTCGCAATGCTGTTATTAGGTTTGCCAGGCACCCGTATGCTGCAACAGCTATTTGATTGATGTGCGCCTCAAGAGATGTGCCCTGTGTTATACACACACCAAGATCCTTTTCCTTGAGTGAGGCTTGTAGGCTCTGGCCCCCTAGACTGTACTCCGTCTGTGGTCTTCTTTGCCCTTCCCCAATCTTCATGACTTTGCACTTGGTGGGTTGAACTCCAGGAGCCAGTTGCTGGACCAGGCCTGCAGTCTGTCCAGATCCCTCTGTAGTTCTGCCTCGTCCTCGTCCGATTTAAGTCTTCTCATCAACTTCACATCATCTGCAAACAGGGACACTTCGGATTCTATTCCTTCCGTCATGTCGTTCACAAATACCAGAAACAGCACCGGTCCTAGGACTTATCCCTGTGGCACCCCGCTCGTTACAGGTGCCCACTCTGACACCTCTCCACATACCATGACTCGCTATTGTTTCCTGACAGATATTCCCTGATCCATTGTAGTGCCGTCCCTGTTATCCCTGCCTGGTCCTCCAGTTTCCGCACTAATCTCTTGTGTGGAACTGTGTCAAACGCTTCCTTACAGTCCAAGAAAATGCAATCTACTCACTCCTCTCTCTCTTGTCTTATAGCTGTCACCCTGTCATAGAACCCCAGTAGGTTTGTGACACAGGATTTCCCATCCCTGAAACCGTGCTGGCTGTCGTTGATAAGCTCATTCCTTTCTAGGTGCTCCACCACTCTTCTCCTGATAATTTTCTCCATCACCTTGCATACTATACACGTCAGTGACACTGGTCTGTAGTTTAATGCTTCGTGTCCGTCTCCTTTTTTATAAATTGGGACTACATTTGCTGTCTTCCATACTTCCGGTAGTCGTCCTGTTTCGATAGATGTGTTAAAGATAGTTGTTAGTGGTTACAAAGTGTCTCTGCTCCCTCTCTCAAGATCCATGGAGAGAAAAGTGCCTCTGCTCCCTTTCTCAGGACCCATGGAGGGATGTTATCAGGTCCTATCGCCTTTGAGGTATCTAGCTCCCTTAACAGCCTTGTTACTTCTTCCTCGGTTGTATGTGTTGTGTCCAACACTTGGTGTACCCCACCTCTC